TCAAATAAAAAGGGAAGCATGGCAGAACAGACATGGAAGGAGTATTTATACCTGACGAACTCCATCGTCTCTAGTTCCATCGACACCAGAAGATTCCACTCCAGCCTATAACAAAAAAAACAAAAATAGTGAGGAGCAGTCAACATAATACACAAAAAAGAGGTCCAAAGCCACAAAAAACCTAGAACATACATTATCAGCGCCAATGCCAGCGTCCTGACGGATCATTTCATCCACAATATGCCCAGCATCCTTCTCATACCGACCACATTTTTCTTCTTGTGAATGTCTCAATTGAGCATACGAAGAACAAACATTTGTCACTGCAATCTTCAGGCTTTCAATCACACCAGAATCAAAATTGTGAGCAGCAACAATATCTTCATCTCGTGGGCCATGGCCAATAGGGAAAAAACCAGCAACTGTCCTCAACCTGTCACCAGAGGTTGGCAAATCTTCAGTCAGCTTCAAAACCTTCAGAAGAAGCTCATCAATCTCCTCATGCTTTTTGCCGCCAACAAATGTCAGTTTATAAGAACTTGTATTATCAAACATCTGTCGAGGCATGAAACCACGAGTATGCGGCACCTCATCATCACAGGCAGGAAGCTAACTACAGATAGGCTCATAAAACCTATCATGAATGCTAGGCCCCGCATCAGAGCTGTCGTGTACAACTGCAACAGGACGGTTGTACACAATATCACCTGACGCCTTCCACTGCAAAAAAAGACAACACGCAAATAGAAGTACACATGTGAGTACTAGAAGAGTTCACATTTATAATGACTGCACATTTTATTAAATCTGATATTAAAAAATCAGCTGCACTAACCGGCAGCTTCCCAAATTTGTAACTTTCCAAGTAAATCTTTCCCTTCACAAGCACATCCTCATTGTACAACTTCATTAGGTCCTTGGTCATCAGGTATGACGCACGTGGCGTCAACGTGTGCATGACTGAAAATTTGCGAAGCTTCAAGCAGTCAAGATACATAATCAGGGGGACAATGGCACAACCCTCTACACAATTCTGCTTGCTGCCTTCTGATTGCCACCTAACCACAGCTGCCTGCAACTCATCAACAACAAGCTGACAAAAGTCCATCTGAGCCATAGCCGCATAATCCATGTTCTCTACCATCGCAGCAACTCTATCCAAACGAACTGCAGGCCCCGGGCACAGCAAATTCTGGTAAAGTATCAGGAAGAACACCTTCACAGCAAGGTCAACACTCACATAATCATCTTCCTCCACCAACACCTTCAACTTCTCAAGCAAGTCCTTGACACCTATACTTTTTGAACGGTCAAAGCCAAGCTCATCCTTGAGGGCAGTCAACGATTCATCATGACCGCTAGAAGCAGGCATGGGTGCAGTGTGACATCCCATAGGTAAATCAAAAATGTGATGAACTGCATCACAATTGATTCGAAGAAACCTGCCATTCTCAAAGTCCATTAACATAGTGGCAGGGTCAATCACTCCCATCAAATAGCACATAAGAATGCGCGACACATTTTTCTTTACTGTCAGATCAAAGACAACACCAAATCCAGCATCCCTAACACGGCTGCAATGCACCTCTTTCAACAAAGAAGCAGCCTTGCAAACAGTGGGAAGCAACAAACGCACGGTCTTGTTAAATCGAGAATCATCTCCCTCACCATCATCTTCAGTTGCATTGCTCTTACTAGACTTCTTCCTCTGTGTAAAGGGAAATGCAGTCCACATTAGAAGATTAGGCATAAAAAAAGAGACATAGAAAATACAGAAAGAATAAGAAATGAAGGAAACAAATGCAGTGCACTTCAACAAACCTTTGGAGCAGCAACCACCTCCTCGCCAGAATCACCACCAACATCTTCGTCGACATCATCATGGGCACGCTTGGGTACACTCTTAGATGAACCACAGTCTTTGCGTCTAGAAGGATGAACACCCTTCACATAATCAGCAAGCACAAAGTTGTCGTCATCAGAATTGGGACCTTCAGTGACATGTAGTCGTTTGTGCTGAGGTTCATCACTTCCACCAACTTCAGCAGTTCTCTTGCCAAGATTCTTCTTCATTCCAGCAACACGTGGACTCCGCCGAGGTGTACCACCTTCCTCAGCAACAGTACTCAACCTCTTCTTCACATTGCCAAATTTACCACCCTTGGCACCATCTACAGTTCTCCTCTTCTTCTCCTTTTCAGCAAACTCTTTTGACTCAATTTCAAACCTCAACTTCTTCTTGCTTTGCTTCAACTCATATTGACGAGGCTGTTTCGATACCATCCAATCCTGTGTAACTTCCTGTGTACCATCAACAGACTGCGACTGTGTTTCAGACAAGACAGGACGTCTCTGATCAAAGCTCACACCAACATTACCCTCTGCAAAACAATGGTCAATCAATTGAGTAACCTCCTCAAACCCAGGCGCCCCAGCATGGAAAACAGGAACTGCGTCAAAATAAAGTTTGTCTATGCTCGTTAAAAATTGCACAAAAAGAACAAATGCATTATAGTTAGACATATAAATGTAGTGCTCAACCATAAACTAAAAATAAAAAATAATGCATTGTACAAAAAACTTGAATAAACCAACAATGCAGTTCACAAGCACATACACTGGAGTTCACATACAAAAATAAAATGCAGTGCTGCATATACTAAATTCACGGATATTCGCAACAAAAATGTCGAACTAGATAAAACAAAGCATACACAAAAATAAACAAATTAATCACATACCAGAAGAAGGGGCCACACTTATAGGAGAAGATTCAATCGGCGAATTCACTTGATGTCCTCCCTCGACACCATGATCCTTACCACCAGGACAAGGAGAGACAATTGGTGTATCATTATGAGCACTGCAATCACGTGCTAGATTCATAAAAAAACAAGAAAAAAGAAATTACAAAAACATCACATGACAAAATAATGCAAACAAACGCTGACAACTAACAGAGCATAACCCAATATGCAGGATGAATTAGGAAACTAGATAAACACCAAACAAAATAAACAAAGCCTAACGAATAAGCACTCCACATACCTTGAACTCCTTCTCCCGGCCTGCTCGGTGAAGACATAGAGTTTCCCTGCAACACAAACGACGAAGTGACAGACATAAGCAACAAAATCGGCGAAAATCTCACGAAACCCTAGATCCGCATTCCTACACACAACTATCGACTTCAAAACAAGATAAAATTGACTGCCTATGAAAAATTACACAAGCAAAAAGAGCTACAACAACTACAAGAATCACAAAAATAGGGAGAGGGGACAATCAACACCGAGCCAAGAGGAACATACCGAAGAAAAGTGTGCGGCGGAAAGGGCGAAGGGGGGCAGCGACGGGAACAGACAGGAAAGGGCTGCGAGAGCGCAGCGGCAAGGGCTCATGGAGCGGACAACAACGCCGAATGCAGGAATAAGGACCTCTTGAGGGCGGCGGTTCTCTGGGCGACGGCGGTTGCTGCGCGTGACGGCGGTTTTGCCTGAGGGAGAGATGCCTCGGGAGAAACTGCAAGAGAGGAGAGGGGATTGTTCTCGGTCTCTTTCTCTGACAGCGGAGCGGTGGAATAGCCTGGAAACGATACGTGGGAGGCCCGCGTGTCGCAAAAAGGGTCACAAATAACGGGCCGGCCCAAAAATAACCCGGACAAAATAAGCCAGTCTACATCAAAACGCACATATTACTAAAAAACAACAAAAAAACATGATGCAGTTCTCTGTGAAGAATCATGAAGTTCAAACGGTAAAACAACAAATAAAATACATACAGTTCGTAAAAAAAGTTCAAATCAAAAACAAAACGCATGTTAAGAAAACACATCCGAAAAAAAGTCTACCTTCAATTAAGTGCCACACAAAAAAATGTGCCCCCCCTCCGCTCTCCCCTTAAACCTCCTGTATAGTGAAGTAAGCACAGGCAAAAAAACAAATGCAGTACGCACTGCTGGAAAAATGCAGTGCATTTCTATACAGGATATAGTAAGCCATTATGCATTTCTTTTTCGGGATGAAGAAAAACGCGAACGCAGAAAAAGTAAACGCAGTGCGCAAGTACACGAACGTGCAGTACAGTATCATAAACAATGCAGTACAGTCGTAATTTGCTAAGCAGTGCAGTCCCGTACATTCAAAAAAAATATTACAAAAAAAGTAAAAACACGGGAACAAAAATGAGAACTGTACATGCAGTAAGGAATGAAGTTCACGTCTAGTACATAACCGATGATTTACCAAAAAGCAGTGCACTCCACGACATTAAAAAGCATACAAAGAATAAAAACTGATCACCCAAATGATACCAGCCCCAGCCACACAAAATTTGACAACGTACATGCGTCTCTGAACTACTCAAACACAGGCCCAACAAAACCGACTAAGAAAAAACAATAAGTTCAAAAAAAGTGGGGGGGCCCCCCTCAGCCCCCTCCCTCCCATTTCCCTACCCATCCCGTGCAAGGGAATGCAATAAGTACCGGCAAAAACAAGATGCAGTACGGTGCGGTAGAAGTATGCAGTGCATTACATTGTGCAATGCAGACAGCCGAAGCATATAGCAAAGACACGCAAAAAACGATGAAGTACACACATGTATACAATGTTGCAGTTCTGATTTGTACGCAACGCAGTGCGTAAGTGTAATCAATGAAGTTATGTTGTCACGCAGTATACATCTATAAAACATGACAAAATGCCCATTCGCATAGAATAATGTGGTGGTTAAAAAAATGTCCTGATCAAAAATAAAACAAACCCACCTTAAAAAAAACCCACGTTCGCATACATCCACCCGATCGGAGCAGTTCCATCGCCACAAGCCCACGATCCGCACAACCGCATCATCAGCGCGATCGTGCAGTTCATCCGACGAGGCCATCCCACCCTGTGCCCTCCCCTTAAATTCAGACCCCTGCCAAAGGCCTTCTCATCCACAAACAACACAAGTATCCATTGCGCTCCCACCAAAAGCACCAAGCCCTGCCACCGGCGATGACGTTCACCGACGAGTACAAGGGCGACAACGCCGTGGAGGCGCACGGCAACACCAAGTTGCACGTCATCCACACCAACGACATGAAGGAGATGGCGATCACCCTCGCGCAGTACGAGAGCCACCTCAGCCTCCAGCGCCACAAGATCGTCGGCATTGATCTCGAGTACGACAACGACCCTGAAGCAACACAGAAACCCGCCCTCTGCCAGCTCTCCATTGGCAAGAATCACCCGGTGCCGCTCTTCCAAATGAGCGACAGTGAAAGGTGCACCATCTTCGATAACTTCCTCGCCGACCCCAGGTACACCTTTGCAGGCTTCTCCATCGACGGCGACAAAGCCAGGCTGGAGCGCGTCAAACTGGAGGTCGCAAACTTCGTCGACATCCAGAAGGAGTGGATGGTGCCCGAGGCAACCAAGCCGTTGGACTCCCTCGGAGACGTCTCCGGCGTGCTCATCGACGACTACTACAACAACATGTAGAAGAAGATCACCGATGACGAGCACCAGCGTTGGGCAATCCTGCCTCTGTCCAGGAGGCACATCGAGTACGCGGCAAAAGGACGCCTACGCAGCGTACGAGATATGGAACCGCATCACCCTCACCCAGGACGGCCTTCGCCGTGAAAAGCTGGAGAAGGAGGAGCCCCCCAAGAAGCGCGCCAGGAGCAGCTCGGGATGGGGAGAGCCTGACTGGTGAAGAAGAAGATGGTGCCGGCCAGGAGCCAACAATGCCAGCATTCTTTTAGAATTATCATCAAATTTGCTTTCTGTTGTTTGCTTATGTATCGTTAGTTTGCTTGTGTGCTGAACCTAGTTTGCTTGCCATGCACAATCGCTTTATAATGATGAACTCTGATTATGTTAGTTTGCTTTCTGTTCAACTTAGCTTGCTGGTGATGAAATTGTCGTACAGAATATCTGTGATAATTTGTTTTCTATTGTGTGCTAATTTATCATTAGATTCGAGCAGTGCAGAAAACGAAATAAGAGTTGCAGTGTGCAAACAGGACGCATGCAGTGCAAGTTGTGTACGAATGCAGTACAGAATCTGTCCAATGAAGTCTTAACATACCCAACAAAGCGGTGCATGAACCTAAATTTGAAAAAAGAATACATAAGAGCAAAACCAGAAAATGAAAAACGCAAACACGTAAATAATCAATGAAGTACAGAAATATATGAACGTGCAGTACAGAACCATAATCAACGCATTATGCATATGATTTACTAAGCAGTGCACTCCCATACATTGGGAAAAAAGATTACATAATAGGACGGAAACAAAAAAATGGCAACTGTACATGCAGTACGTAATGCGTACACATGTAGTACAGAACCCTGATCAATGCAGTGCAAGCTCCCGACATTGAAAAAACACATAAGAAAGAAAAAGAAAAAGAAAAAAAATGACCACCCAGGAGGCACCGGCCCCAGCCAGTCTCGTAATAGGTCTGCGCCCACAGAAGGCGAGTCGTTCTGAGTCACAGTGCATGGGGCCAGCCACACATGGGCCCATAGGTCAGAGAGCATACAGCTGCGAGCGCCGTGTTTAAGCGCCCAAATAAGTAACAAGAGGAATTCGACACAGATGCCTCTCCACCGCTTATAAACATGTCGGCCGCGCCTTCCGCGGGTGAGGTGGGACTAAACATTAGACCGCACACAGCGCACCGGGAACCAGCCGTGTGCTCACAGGCCGACCTGGGCCCAATTGCATCTTCACTACCAGAACACAGGGCTAACAAAAAAAGAGAGGCCACTGAAAAAAAATGCTACATACCATACACAAACACAGGCCCAACCACGCGTTCGCAGTTCGCCGTGATATGACAATGCAGTTCACTATTTTCAAGTAAGCAGTCCTGTTGCTTCTTAAATGCATTCGTGTTCACTGAATCACACCCAATCCACCACCTAATGCCAACCACACCATTTATTACTTCCATTGCTTGATTGGTTGCATAAAAACTTGTCCATTCGTGCTACAGACTAACACAACTCCTCCCCCCGTTCCTCATTTTCCTGAAAACGTAGATCTAGGGTTCATCCCATCCACAGCTCTTCTCTGGAATTCCACTGAAACCGCCATGGACTGTAAGTGCGGGTGCTTGGCAAGGATGGCTCCGGTAGCGGACACATGCGTCTACGCAGAAGGCCTATAGCTCACCAACACCGAGTGGCACAGCATGCTCGACTGCCTGATGATACCCAACAGGGGGTTTCATGCGCCATGTCTTCATCGCCTCACAACCGCAGATCTACAGGAAAGTTGGGTATGTTTTTCCACTCACAATTTTTGCACATAATCTAGACTGCAAATACACATCTGAATATATAGTTCAATCAATTTGTTCTGTAATATCAACAAAAATACAAAACAGAATTTGTATTCTTGTTCAGATCTGTTAGCTATTAAGACTAGATGCTTCCGCCTATCTTTCTTCAGTACCACACCATGTATCGACATATGTACAAAAAAACAGGGTTAGTAGATAAGTTGCTGTTATCTTAACATGCTGGAGAAGTACACTATTACTGACATTGCAGTGCACACATGTTGCAGTATAATATATATCCCAGTAAAACTAGGAGTCAATTGCGTATATAAGTTTGTTCATACATTGCAACTACTTTACAAAATACAATCATATATATGTAACTATTTAAGTAAACATAATTAAATCATACTAAGTATAAAACAAAAACATTTGCTGTTTACTTACAAATTCTTTTTCCACCCATTACAATATGCAGAAACTGCCATCCATAATAAAATTTCATGCTCCGAGTTCACGGAAGCTTACTTTGGAGACAGAACACAAGAATGGCTATGGAGACATGGAAGCTGACTACCACATTGACTCTGAAGACTGCATCAAGATAACTACTGGTTGGAAAGATTTTGTCTCCCAGAATGGCTTTGAGGCCGGAGAAGTGGCCATGGTCTTTTTCTACAAAGAAGAAGACTCCATCAAGTTTACAATATTTGCACTCCATGCTGTCTAATATGAAGCAACCAATATTTCTAATGCTTTGCTTATGATGTATGCTTTTAAAATTATGTCCAACAAACAATTTGAACGATGCCTATTTAAAGTATGCAACCTCAACTACGTCATTTTATCATCCTTTTTAGACAAAGTTGCTGTTGGCAGTAATGCAGTTCTCTCGAACACATAGTGTGGTACTAATAATAACAAAAAGCAGCCATCTGAAATAGTAACAAGGAAATGCAAATGGTAGAAACTTTGCACTTAACATACGATGTTCAAAAACAATTATCATAGTATGCAGTTCAAAAAAAATCTTATAATAACTATTCAGCTAACACATGCGTATCATGGACCATCCATTCTAATAGCAGAATAGAAAATTAACAACACTGCTAATGCAGTACAGAAATGCATATTATGCAGTCATCTAGAACACAGAATGTAGTTTAAGAAAAGGAGAAATCTCATAAACAGCCATAACCACTGTAATACAACTACAACGAAGTACGCTACCAAAGAAAATGCAGTGCACTACAACGTATGCCGCGACTACAACAAATAAAATTAAAGCACTGAAACTACAGACAATGTGATAGACTGATAGAGGTGTCAATTTCACTCGCACTTCCATAACTCGCCTAAAAAGTGTACAACCACTAAACTATCGAAAAATACACCCGCAAAAATTTACATGGAAGACATGGCAACTTGATGAACAACATCACCTTTCATTTAAAAACCGCGATTCAGAAAATGACAATTATACCCGCAATACAATGAATTCAAACCTACAGCAATAGTAATTCCAATATTCAAACACGCGTGGACGGGCAAAAATCAAAAAAATCAACAAGAACAGAGGAGCGGACGAAGCTCACCCGCCCGCACAACCAAAATAGCAAGAAATTGAAAACTAACTCCTAAAAATTAACAAATTATAGAGTGAACGGGCCAATTAAAACGAACGCAATCAAACAATTCCTACTAAATAACAACATCCGAGCACAAAAAATCGCATCTGACATGAACACGAACGAACAGAGAAAGCTCGTCCGCCAAATCCCTCGATTTGCAAGCACTCTAGTATATTTTCCTGTAAATTAGAAAGAATAAAGCTAAAATGAGATGCAGACACAAACTGAATCATCCCGCGACACCCGATTCCACATAGAACACACGGGCGGAACACCAGAAAATGAAGCAGTTCTCCCGTGAAGCATTGAAGTGCCCAACGTAAAGAAGATGCAGTGCACTTGCATTCAGCGTGCAGTGCAGAAGTGGTGTGCAGAATAGTTATTCTGCTAATATTAGCATTATAGACCGTCTGTATATATATATATATATATATATATATATATATATATATATATATATATATATATATATATATATATATATGGATCTTTCTCCAACACAAAGTGCTTGCCAAAAAGAAAAAGTGTAAAAGGGAAAGGTGAAGATCACCATGACTCTCTTGGATAAGGGTAGAAGGTAAAAGTAAAACTTAGGCCCTTCGCAGAGGGAAGTAGAGGTTTTCATGCACTTTTATGATTGGATGCACAAAATCTCTATGCAAAAGAACGTCACTTCATATTGCCGCTTGTGATAAAGAACTTTATTATGCAACCCGACACTTTTATTTCTTCCATATCACAAGTGCGTATAAAGATTATTTTTTCCACACTAAAATATCATGCATATTTAGATAGCAATATTTATTTCTTGCACCGATGACAACTGACTTGAAGGATCTTACTCAATCCATAGGTAGGTACGGTGGACTCTCATTGCAAAACTGGTTTAAGGGATGTTCGGAAGAACAAGTAGTAACTCTACTTGGTGCAAAAGATTTGTCTAGCATAAGGGAGAAAGCAAACTCAACATGTTGGAGGATCCATGATAATATAACTTCTATTCGGATATAAGAAGACATAGCTCATTATGTTGTCTTCCTTGTCCAACATCAACTTTTTAGCATGCAATATTTTAATAAGTGCTCACAATTACAAAATATGTCCAATATAGTATATTTATATATGAAACCTCTCTTTCTTTATTACTTCCTATTAATTGCAACAGTGACGAAAACTATGTTTGTCAACTCTCAACAACCTTTATTCATCATACTCTTTATATGTGAAGTCATCACTATTCATAAGATCATTATATGATTTTTCTATTTCCCCTTTATTTTTATTTTTTTCTTTTCCCTCAAGATCCTAGCAAGAAAGCAAAGCCCTCAACTCAAAACTACTCTTTATTATATAACTCACAGACTCGATTACATAGATAGATCTCAAAACAAAACTGAAAGCTAGATCATACTAAAAACTTTATTCTAGTAGATCAAGATGTAACCAAAAGGATCGAACTTATAAAAACGATAAAGGTAAAGGTATGATGGTGATACGATACCGGGGCACCTCCCCCAAGCTTTGTAGTTGCCAAGGGAAGTGCCCATATCCATGTATTTAGATCTCTTTCTTC